CTCTGGAGTGTGGTGGAGGTTCCACCACTGAACTGGATACACTTTCAAACAGAGGCTGGATGGCCATCTGTCGGGGGTGCTTTGAATGGGATTTTCCAACTCGGTGATTCTACGAAAGGAGAAACGACCACTCCACACAGACAGGAAGCAGAACACCCTGAGTTACAAATACCTGAGAATCAGGTGTCAAACAAGGAAGCAGCAGGACTTGTATAGACACTGTATCTTATACAGTCATAAGGGACTTGGCCCCCAATGGCTGTCTATACAAGAACAAGCCCTATGAGGAGTGGCTTAAAGAGCTGGGCATGTCTAGCCAGCAGAAGAGAAGACTGAGATGAGACATGATGAGGGCTATGGATCAATATGTGAAGGGAAGTCATAGGGAGGAGAGAGCAAGTTTGTCTTCTGCTGCTCTGGAGACTAGGACGTGGAGCAATGGCTTCAAACTACAATAAAGGAAATTCCACCTGAACATGAGGAAGAACTTCCTGATTGTGAGAACTGTTCAGCAGTGGAACTCTCTGCCCCGAGTGTGGTGGAGGCTCCTTCTTTGGAGGCTTTTAAACAGAGGCTGGATGGCCATCTGTCAGGGGTGCTTTGGAGATACAGCTTAATGGTGTAACACTAGAAAATATTGACCATTTCCGCTCCATTGGCAGCCACTTCTCCACCAAAGTCAACATCGACACCAAAATACAACATCGCCTGAGCTCTGTGAATGCAGCATTTTTCCGAATGAGGCAGAGAGTGTTTGAGGACTGGGACATCCGTAGGGATACCAAGGTACTTGTTTATAAAGCTATTGTCCTCCCAACCCTGCTCTATGCCTGCGAGACGTGGACTGCCTACAGACGTCACATGCAACTCCTTCAACGATTCCAGCAGTGCTGCCTCCAGAAAATCCTGCAAATCTCTTGGGAAGACAAGGGGACAAATGTCAGCATGCTGGAAGAAACAAAGACCACCAGCATTGAAGCGATGCTCCTCCGCCATCAGCTCCACTGGACCGGCCACGTAGGAGTTGCATGTGACATCTGTAGACAGTCCACCACCAGCATTGAAGTGATGTTCCTCTGCCATCAACTCCGCTGGACCGCCCACATTGTCCGGATGCCCGACCACCATCTCCCAAAGCAGTTGCTCTACTCTGAACTCAAGAACGGAAAACAGAATGTTGGTGGACAGGAAAAGAGATTTAAAGATGGGCTCAAAGCCAACCTTAAAATCTCTGGCATTGACACTGAGAACTGGGAAGCCCTGGCCCTTGAGCGCTCCAGCTGGAGGTCAGCTGTGACCTGCAGTGCTGCAGAATTTGAAGAGGCATGAATGGAGGGCGAAAGAGAGAAACGTGCCAAGAGGAAGGCGTGTCAAGCCAACCCTGACCAAGACCACCTTCTACTTGGAAACCAATGCCTTCACTGCAGGAGACGATGCAGATCAAGTCACCTATGGACCCACAAGAATACTGATCCTGGAAGAGTATCCTACTCGGCCAACGAGGGATTGCCTAAGTAAAGTAAGAATGCAATTTTCCTACTTCTTGGCAGAATGGGTTTGGACTGGATGGCCCACGAGGTCTCTTCCAACTCTGATTCTATGAAATTCTAAGCATTCCATCCAACTGCAAATCCCAGAACTGGGTGTTGTTGACATTCATGACACTAATAATATGTAGAATGCTGCCTCCCCTGTTGCTATATCTTACCATCATGCCAATGGGGCCACGGACTCCCACAATTCCTTCTTCACCCTGTTAAACAGAAGATACAGAAATATCAGTGAGCCTATGAACATGTCTGCTCCTGTTGAACTCAATGAATGTTAAATGGTGAGGTTTGGGATACTAGGAGAAATTTGCACTGAAAAACATGTACCAATTGTTCTGCAAACTCAAACAATTTTTTGGGAATTTGATGTTAAATCTCATTCGCAGAGACAAAATCCAATTTAGATGTGAAACAGAGGGAAATGAAGACCAGCAAATCCACCCATCCTGGCCTTTGGTTCAATGAAAACAAATCTAATAGAACGGCGGATTAAATGTCACAGCGTAGCTTTTGCATCTATCCACATATCGATTGATACACTTCCCCGCCTTATCTTTATAGGCCAATGCGATCTATTATCACGCGTGTCTTATTTTGCCCAGTCAATAAAATGGTATTGTCATTACCTGTAATAAATATAAGTTCCCTTTTGAGAAAGAATTGAAACCAAAATGTCATGGATATGTGTGTGTAATGGTGTTACACTTTGAAATGTACCTGTTCCAACTTACATACAAATTGAAGCTAAGACCAAACCTACAAGTTTGATGGCTTTCCAAGGTGTGGGAAATGGGGACACATGATGACTAACTCAGAAATAATGCATGCATTTCTTTTGGATTGTGTGTCTTGTTTGTATTAAATTTCCTCCAGAAGAACAAGCTGACATTGTGGAGGTTGCACGGATGTATCTTCTTCTCTATGAGTTCCACAAAACACAGATGATTTACGTAGTAAGAACTTGGAAGAGCAGCTCTGAAGAAACCAAGCAAAATCTTGAAGAAGAAGAAGAAGAAATCATAGAATCATAGAATCAAAGAGTTGGAAGAGACCTCCTGGGCTGAACGGCTCTCACAGTCAGGAAGTTCTTCTTCGTGTTCAGATGGAATCTCCTCTCTTGTAGTTTGAAGCCATTCTTCCGCGTCCTAGTCTCCAGGGAAGCAGAAAACAAGCTTGCTCCCTCCTCCCTGTGGTTTCCTCTCACATATTTATACATGGCTATCATATCTCCTCTCAGCCTTCTCTTCTGAAGGCTAAACATGCCCAGTTCCCTAAGCCGCTCCTCATAGGGCTTGTTCTCCAGACCCTTGATCATTTTAGTCGCCCTCCTCTGGACACATTCCAGCTTGTCAATATCTCTCTTGAATTGTGGTGCCCAGAATTGGACACAATATTCCAGGTGTGGTCTAACCAAAGCGGAATAGACGGGTAGTATATTAAAGTTAGCATGGATCACACCATTTATTCCCCATATCCATACTGAAGAAAATGGATAATAATAAAGCAACTCATTTGAAATGTGATGTTGGGGGGACTTTTATGGATGCTGTGGTAACACAGCGGACGGAACGGCTAGCTGCAGAAAAACTTGCAGACTGAAAGGTCAGCAGTTCAAAGCCACAAGTCGGGGTGAGCTCCCACTGTTAGCCACAGCTCCTGCCAGCCTAGCAGTTCAAAAATATGTAATGTGAGTAGATCAATAGGTACTGCCTTTTGGTAAAAGGAGCCCATGCAGCCATACTGGCAAAACACGACCAGTGTAGGGGCTCAGCCGACTGGAGTCGTTGCAATGCCTCAAGAAAAGGATTATGGTTATGTTCAATTTCCTTCAGAGCAGGACCCTTCAGAGATTTCCATGTTGGATTTTAATGTAGATTCTCAGGGATTTGTGAGTGAAGAAGAGGGCACAGAAGAAACTGCAGAGAAAAGGGAGTCAGAAGATTCTGGGATTGTGGTTCTCAAGATAGAATGGTTTCCAGGCAGTCTGATGGGAACCAGCTTCGGTTGCTAGATAAGGAAAGTGAAAGGAAAGTGTTAACGAACAACCAGGAGGAATCAACCTTTGATAGAAGGGGTCAAATCTGTCAAGATCGCCACCTGCAAGGGGGAGTCAGAAGGTCTGTCAGGATAAGGGAAAAGAGGAATTTGAAGGAGAGTTCTCAAGGGAATCGGAATGCATTTTGTGTAGGTCTTTTTGAATAAATATAGGGCTTTCACAGCATTGCCTTCAGTGAGCACAACGTCGGTTACTGGTCACGTCGTGTATGTATGTCCTGTCAAGATTCATGGAACTCTTTGCTCAAGACTCAAGTTCAAGTTGCTGTTGGTGAATGTTTTCCAGTGTAATTCTGCTGTGGATTTCGGATCTGTGTAACCTTGTTTCCTGGCTTTTCAAGAGACTTGGGACTTTATCCTTGTGGGTTTTAAGGACTATGGATCCGTGGATTTTGCTGTGGAATTATTGGATTTTGCTGTGGGAAGTCTGACTTGGCCACGGTGGTCCACGCTCTGGTTACATCCCGTATAGACTACTGCAATGCTCTCTACATGGGGTTACCTCTGAAGACTGCCCGGAAGCTTCAATTAGTCCAACGAGCAGCAGCCAGATTACTAACAGGAGCGGGGTACAGGGAGCATACTACTCCTCTGTTGCGTCAGCTCCACTGGCTGCCAATTAGCTTCCGGGCACAATTCAAAGTGCTGGTGCTGACCTATAAATCCCTAAACGACTCCGGCCCAGTTTACCTGTCCGAATGGATTCTCCCCTATGAACCATCAAGGTTGTTAAGATCTTCTGGAGGGGCCCTGCTCTCAGTTCCACCATCCTCGCAATCACGTCTGGTGGGGATGAGGGACAGGGCCTTCTTGGTGGTGGCCCCTTGGCTCTGGAACTCTCTCCCACTGGAGATTAGATCTGCCCCTTCTCTCCTGACTTTCAGAAAGCTGGTGAAAACTTGGCTTTGGAATATAGCATTTGCAGAATGATGACTGAGTCAATAACTCTTGACCACACTGACGGATGGTGATGAATTTGTGATTTTACTCTGACGACCTGGCCTTATGTAATTGTATGATTTGTATTTTAATGTATTTGTATTAATGTATTATGAGGTTGTGACGTTTTATATTACTGTCTATGAATCTCCTGTTGTGAACCGGCCTGAGTCCCTCTTCGGAGGTCGATAAGAACGGGTTCTAAAAGCTCTAAATAAATAAATAAAATAAATATTTACTCTGCTCTCTTTGAAGGATTATATTTGCTTACCTGCTGGGTTGGATTGTTATTAGACATTCTTACATAACCTTTTATTTGCCTTTTTCACCTTTTTCGATACTGCTTGCATTTATTCAATAAACTGTTTATTTGCTAAAGAACCTGGGAGTGTTTGTGGGTTCAAAGATGTGCTTCCAGCCTTGGTATGCGACAACCAGGAGGGTCTACGGATATCAGGCTCCTTGGCATAGAAAAATGAAACAAGAGCACCTCTCCATGGCCAGAGCTGAGCATTGCCTCCAGACACCAGAGATGGAAAGGGAAACCTTTGCCTTTGTTTGTGTATTGTATGTCATTGTTCACTGTATAAAAGGCACTAAATGTTTGCATATATATATATATATATATATATATATATATATATATATATATATACTGTAATCCACTTTGAGACTCCTTGAGGAGATAGAGCAGAATATAAATAAAGTGTTATATTATTATTATTATTATTATTATTATTATTATTATTATTATTATTACCCTGCTCCTCCTTTTGGTGACTTTTTCATCCAAATAAAAGTAAGCCATTACTTTGTCTTTTCAAATAGACACAAATAAGAGGGTGGCCCTTCCTTGGCATGACACCCAGCACCAAACCACTGCAATTCCTTGCTTAAAAACCTAACAAACTCCAGTTATGATAAGATGCAAAACCTCACCCTGCCTTGTCCTTCTCTGTCCCCCAAATAGGTTCACCTGGATTTGAAACAGATGCTGACATTATTACTTTCAGTCCCTGTTGTCAGTTTGGACTTGTGAGCAAGCCTTTTTGCCATTTTGCAGGTTTGTATAAAAAGGGTACCAGGTGAGAAACATTTATTCCCCAGCCCCTGGGGTTCACAGAGAAATCTGTGTCTTGATGCATAGTCTCATGTAGGGCTTTTGTACTTACTTACTTACTTACTTTACTATGATTGCCTTCCAAGTGTAGTGTCTTGGCAGTGGATACATAGGTAATTGTGGAGTCCTATTGTTGTTCTAAATGCACTTCCACAGTGAGGGCATTGGTTTCCAGGTAGAAAGTGGTCCCAGTTAGGGTTGGCTTGATGTGCCTTCCTCTTGGCTTGATGTGCCTCCCTTTCGCCCTCCATTCGTGCCTCTTTGAATTCCACAGCACTGATGGTCACAGCTGACCTCCAGCTAGAGCGCTCAAGGGCCAGAGCTTCCCAGTTCTCAGTGTCTATGCCAGTTTTTAAAGTTGGCTTTAAGCCCATCTTTCAATCTCTTTTCCTGTCCACCAACATTTTGTTTTCTGTTCTTGAGTTTGGAGTGTAGTAACTGCCTTGGGAGATGGTGATCGAGCATTTGGACATTGTGGCCAGTCCAGCGGAGTTGTGGCCAGTGTAGGAGCAGCACTTCAGTGCTGGTGGTCTTTGCTTCTTCAAGCACACTGACATTTGTCTGCCTGTCTTCTCAAGAGATTTGCAGAATTTTTGGAGGCAAAGCTGATGGAATCGTTCCAGGAGTTGAGTGTGGCATCTGTAGATCCATACAAATTCTTTTTCTCCATTTCCCAGGCTGAATTGATTCACCTGGGAGGCTCTTGGGAGAGGAAATTCATTTAAAGAAGTATTTTGACTGGCATTCAATTCAGGACATCTATGCTGATGATTAATCTATGCTGATGATCATGCCATTACTGCTCAAGCAGGGAGCTTTGAGATGGTAGAACAGAAGCTTTCTGAAGCTCTAGGTGCTCTTACTGCCTATTACAGGGAAAACCAGCTGATCCCCAACCCATCTAAAACACAGACATGTGCCTTTCATCTCAAGAACAGAGACAAGCATCCCGAGCTCTGAGGATCACCTGGGAAGGAATCCCACTGGAGCATTGCAGCACACCCAAATACCTGGGAGTCACTCTGGACCTGCTCTTACCTACAAGAAGCACTGCCTGAATATCAAGCAAAAAGTGGGTGCTAGAAACAATATATACGAAAGCTGACTGGCACAACCTGGGGATCACAACCAGACAGTGAAGACATCTGCCCTTGCGCTTTGCTACTCTGCTGCTGAGTATGCATGCCCAGTGTGGAACACATCTCACCACACTAAAACAGTGGATGTGGCTCTTAATGAGACATGCCGCATTATCACGGGGTGTCTGCGCCCTACACCACTGGAGAAATTACACTGTCTAGCCGGTATTGCACCACCTGACATCCGGGAAGTAGCAGCCAATAGTGAAAGGACCAAGGCAGAGACATCTCCAGCTCATCCCCTGTTTGGGTATCAGCCAGCACGTCAACGACTTAAATCAAGAAATAGTTTTCTAAGATCCACAGAGACACTCACTGGAACACCTCAGCAAGCGAGAGTCCAAAAGTGGCAGGCTCAAACCCAGAACCTCAACCAATGGCTGATACTAAATGAGAGACTCCCCTCTGGGCACACAGAAGACTGGGTGACTTGGAAGGCGCTGAACAGACTGTGCTCTGGCACCACGAGATGTAGAGCCAACCTTCAGAAATGGGGCCACAAAGTGGAATCCTCGACATGCGAGTGTGGAGAAGAGCAAACCACTGACCACCTGCTGCAATGCAACCTGAGCCCTGCCACATGCACAATGGAGGACCTTCTTGCAGCAACACCAGAAGCACTCCAAGTGGCCAGATAGTGGTCAAAGGACATTTAATCAACTACCAAACTCACAAATTTTGTATTTTGTCTGTTTGTTTGCTTTGTTCTGTTAGAAATGTAATATAATCGACTGGTTGCACTGACACGATAAATAAATAATTCAGGACACATGGTATTGTTAGCCAGGTTGGAGGTGCAACTATGGTGAGTTTTGGTGCAACCAAAACCCACCATAGAAGCCAGTCATTCCATGAACTGAAGGAGCTGAACACAGTAGCACTGAACAGTTCCATGGAATTGTAGAATCACAGAGTTGGTATAGACCACAAGGGCCATCCAGTGCAACCTCCTTTGGCCAGGACACAATCAAAGCACTCTCAATAGATGGCCTATCTTCGTAATCGCATCTCCTTCTATGAACTGGTGTGTGCTCTTAGATCTATCGGGGAGACCCTTCTCTTGCTTCCACCACCGTCACAAGTACGGCTGGTAGGGATGAGAGAGAGGGCCTTCTCGGTGGTGGCCCTCCACCTCTGGAATGCCCTTCCAAGGGAAATAAGATAGGTCTCATCCCTCTCCTCTTTTCGTAAGAGCTTGAAGACATGGTGTTTTCACCAGGCCTTTGAGAATGACTAGTGCTAGCACAGCCCTTGGACACTATTAGAACCTGGCCTTGTACCCCCATCTACTATCCCAGACAGTCCCCAAATAGGCCCTGGAAATGAGCAGCTACAAGCCCCACTATTACTATTGCTGGGACCGGTTATAGCATCTTACACACTCCCCTGGCCCCCCATGTCCTGTTGTGTAATGGCTTTGATCTGGCCCTTTTAATTTGCTTAGGCCCATTTCTGAAATCCTTCCTCCAACAGTAATTTTTCCTCGATGAATTGAGTGGGCCCGGTTTTTAATGTAATTGAGTTGTTTATGATAACTCTATGCTTATGTTTTGTTCACTCTGTATGTTGTTGTTTTGCTATATGGAATCCACCCTGAGTCCCCGAGGGGAGATAGAGCAGCATATAAATAAAGTTTTGTCATTATAATAAAACAAACCAAAAAAACTCCATACCGTATATGCTCGAGTATAAGCCAACCCGAATATAAGCCGAGACACCTAATTTTACCTCCCCAAAACTGGGAAAACATATTGATTCGAGTATAAGCTGAGGGTGGGAAAAGCAGCAGCTACTGATAAATTTCAAAATAAAAATAAATGCCAATAAAATTACATTAATTCAGGCATCCATATGTTAAATGTTTTTGAATATTTACATAAAACTGTAATTTAAAATAAGACTGTCCAACTCTGATTAAACCATTATTCTAACTTTACTCTATGTAAATGTGCTTACATATCCTTCGAATACTAATATGGAGAGTTAAATAATAAATGTACTACTACTACTACTACTACTAATAATAATAATTGTAATAAAAATAACAATAGAGTAAAATAATGTAAATGTAATAGTAATAATAATAATAAATAGAGTAAAATAATTTATTTATTTATTATTTATTTGGGGTTCTTTTACCCCGCCCTTCTCACCCCGAAGGGGACCCAGGCCGGCTTACACAGTAAAGGCACGATTAGATGCCAGCATCACAACAATCATCTCAATTTACAATAAAATTCACAATTACTAACATCTTCATGCATTATTCCAATAAAAATCAATAAAATCAATACAAACCTAGATTCCTCCGTTACATTGTCAGTGTTTGCTGTCTCATAGATCCGTTTTTAATACCATTTCGTCCATCCTGCTGGTCTTTAATTGCCTGGTTGCCCAAAGGCCTGGTCCCATAACCAAGTTTTCACCCTCCTCCTGAAGGAGAGGAGGGATGGTGATGCTCTGATTTCCCCGGGGAGTGAGTTCCACAGGTGAGGGGCCACCACTGAGAAAGCCCTGCTCCTCGTCCCCACCAGCCTCACTTGTGAGAGTGGTGGGGTCGAGAGCAGGACCTCCCCAGATGATCTCAAGCTCCGAGGTGGGACGTAGCAGGAGATACGTTCGGACAGATACAGTGGACCGGAACTGTACAGGGTTTTATAGGTCAAGACCAGCACCTTGAATTGTGCTCGGAACTGAACCGGCAGCCAGTGGAGCTGGCATAGCAGGGGGGTGGTATGCTCCCTGTATGTCGCCCCGGTGAGCAATCTGGCTGCCGCTCGCTGGACTAGTTGAAGTTTCCGAACAGTCTTCAAGGGCAACCCCACGTAGAGAGCGTTGCAGTAGTCTATTCGGGATGTAACAAGAGCGTGGACCACCATGGCCAGATCAGACTTCCCAAGGTACGGGATAAATGTAATCAAAATAATACTAGTAAGAGAGTAAAATAATAAGTAACTTTGACTCGAGTATAAGCCTAGGGGAGCCTTTTCAGCCTTAAAAGGGGGCTGAAAAACTAGGCTTGTACTCAAGTATACACAGTAAGTGAAAGTTGACGTGATAGCAAACAACAACAAATGAACCCATTGCCAGCCCTCAACCTCAGCTAAGATTGACAGCCTGCATCCCGTGCATTTTGGGTAGGTTGCTGAAGTTAACACTCAAAATGTTGACGCTAACGGTGAGACACTTAGGAAGTATGTGGAAAGGAAGAGGAAACAGCCGACACTTTCCCCACATAGGTTCAATGCCTTGGATGGGTCTTTTTAAGGGCAGGGATGAAGTCTAGAATGGATTCAGTACATCCTTGGCATGAAAGCTAATGGCCAACTCTGTTGAGGATGTGAATGAAGAAGCTGACATGCAAAAGTATTGAAAGGCACCTTACCCGGGGCCCAGGGAAGCCACGTGGCCCTCGTGGACCCACTTTGCCAAGACCGGTCTCCCCCTGCAAAACAGAAAGAAGGCATGAAATCCCCCAGGGAAGTCTCTGGATTGTTTCTCCAAAAATGTATCCATTCGGAGACTAGGTGATTGATCACAGAGTCACACTGGAAGATGCAGAAATTCCTCAGTGCGTTCTTGTGAATTTTTGGGCTGTATGGCCATGTTCCAGCAGAATTCTCTCCTCTCGTTTCGTCTGCATCTGTGGATAATGGCATCTTCAGAGGTTCTGTTGGCAGAGAAGCAAATGGAGTGTATATATGCACTGGGATTGTGGCGCAGCTGGCTGAGTGTCAGCTGTATTAAGATCACTCTGGCCAGAAGGTCATGAGTTCGAAGCCAGCCCGGGTCGGAGTGAGTGTCCGGCTAATTGTGTAGCTTGTTGTCAACCTTTGCAACCCGAAAGACAGTTGCATCTGTCAAGTAGGAAAATTAGGTACCACCTATGTGTGGGGAGGCTAATTAACTAATTTATGAGGCCATAAAAAGACTCCAGCAAAAAGCACTCCAGCAAGCATGCAGGGAATGTGGAAGTACAATGAAAGTGACAGCTCCCCTGGTGGCCAGAAAAAGTTAAATAGCCTCTGTGTATGTCTATATATGTTGTATGTCTAATTGGCATTGCCATATATGTGTACATTGTAATCCACCCTGAGTCCCCTGCGGGGTGAGAAGGGCAGAATATAAATGCTGTAAATAAATAAATAATAAATAAATATGCCTGTGGAATAATGTCCAGGGTGAAAGGAAGAAAGAACTCTCCAATGCTAATTCAAGCTTGCTAATTGCAACATTCACATGTGTTTTAAATATCATACGAAAGCTGACTGGCACAACCTGGGGATCACAACCAGACACAGTGAAGACATCTGCCCTTGCGCTATGCTACTCTGCTGGTGAGTATGCATGCCCAGTGTGGAACACATCTCACCACTGTGTCCTACACCACTGGAGAAATTATACCGTTTATCCGGCATTGCAACACCTGACATCTGCCGGGAAGTAGCATTCCCGGCAGATGTCAATAGGCATTGAGTCGCCTGTCAAGGGCTGAAAAATGCGGTATAGAAATAAAGCAAATAAATAAATAAAGGACCAAGGCAATGACATCGCCAGCTCATCCCTTATTTGGGTATCAGCCAGCATGTCAACGACTTACATCAAGAAATAGTTTTCTAAGATCCACAGAGACACTCGCTGGAACACCTCAGCAAGCGAGAGTCCAAAAGTGGCAGGCTCAAACCCAGAACCTCAACCAATGGCTGAGACCAAATGAGAGACTTCCCCCCTGGGCACACAGAAAATTAGGCAACTTGGAAGGCGCTAAACAGACTGCGCTCTGGCACCACGAGATGCGGAGCCAACCTCAAGAAATTGGGCCACAAAGTGGAATCCATGACATGCGAGTGCGGAGAACAGCAAACTACAGACTATCTGCTGCAATGCAACCTGAGCCCTGCTATATGCACGATGGAGGACCTTCTTGCGGCAACACCAGAGGCACTCCAAGTGGCCAGATACTGGTCAAAGGACATTTAATCAACTGCCAAGCTTGCAAACTTTGTAGTTTGTTTGTTTGTTTGTTAAAAATGCAGTACAACTGTTTGGTTTGCTCCTGACACAATAAATAAATATATGGGTTTTATGTATTGTTATTGAGATGTCATTAGTTTGTATTTTATATTGTTAATGGTTTTAATATTGTGTGTTGTTGGATTGTCTTTTGCTCTTGTTGTGAATTGCGTTGAGTCGCCTACGGGCTGAGAAACTGCGGTATACAAGCAAAGTAAATAAAATAAATAAATAAATAATAAATAAACAGACAAGGGTCCTTTCTCCCACCCTGGACATTCCATGGGTATATATACACTCCACTTGTTCCACTGCCAACAGAACCTCTGAAGATGCCATTAGCCACAGATGCAGGTGAAACATTAGGAGAGAATCAAATCTATGAACAATCAAATCCACAACTGTTGTTCCCACAAATGCTCTCACTGTCAAGAGGCTCCTTCTAATGTTCATGTGAACTATATCCTCCTGGAACTTAAAACCAATAGACTTGTTCCTACCCTCTGAGATACCAGAGAGACAAACCCATTTTGTTTCTATTTTGGGGGTTCTTGAGCTATTTCAAGAGGGCAGTCAGGACACCGCTCAGCCCTCTCTTCACCAGGCTGAACATGGCCAGGCTCTTCAACCTTTCCTCATCGGTTTCATTCTCCATACCTCTGCTCATCCTCATTGTCCTTCTCTGGATCTGCTTAAAGTTGCCTATATCCTCCTTAAAATGACTCATTAACCTCTCTGCTAAATGGTAAGCTGACACTGAAACAATTCCCTTGATGCTGTAGGCCTTCAGTAGTTGCATATGAGCCTTTATTGCTCCCAAGGCTGTGGGCTTCATGATCAATTGCCCCTTCATTGTCCCTTGGACTTCCTATCATCTTGGCTAAAAACCAAGGCCCTTAATTATTGATTGCATCTCTGTATTGTTCATATTTTACAGCACAACAGTGTCACATCACACCTTCATTTTGCATTTGTGTCCCTCACCAGTGATGGGTTGAGTACCTCCCCTTCGGTATTCCTTGAACTTACAGCCATCCAACTTGACTGTGTTTACTCTCCTTGTGACTCACCTTGTTGCCCTTGATCCCAGGGACACCTGGCATGCCCTAAAGAGCAAAAAAAAAAGGAAACACAAATCACAACACTGTTTAACACCAAGATGAAGACCCCCATTACTTCTGATACAAAGGCCTACACTCAGTTGCTAGTCTCAACTAGAATGGGCTAGAATCAAATCTGCTGCTGAATGGTGAACTAACACTAATGCAAACCCCATTGTGGTTTATTACAGGTTCAGGCTCTTGAGGTTGCTTTATATCAAGGCAAACAAACCTCAGATACATTGGTTTAGTATTGCTCTGTAACCGGCAGCAGCTCTGCAGCGTCTGAGATAGAGATTGTCCCAAATCCTGTGTGGCGATCCTAGGGATTGAATGTGGGACTTTCTACAACTGGGATGGGAATCATTCATCCACCATGGTTGGCATACAAGACTCACCAACTCATGTTATATAGCTAAACTTGGTGAATGCTGTAAGGTGAAACCAAACTGACAAATAATCAAGACTGCAAATGCCTGCAAATGTGGTGGGCTGGGTCTAAACAGAAGGCAGGAGCTCTTGAGCACCTCCTCCTCAGCTCAGTCAATGCAGTTTATCACCCTCCTTTTACACTTAAAGATTCAACGTTTTCTATACCTTTTGCCCAGGTGGCCCAGGAGGACCTGATAGTCCAGATGACCCACTCCGGCCTCTCTTACCATGTTCCCCCTAAGGAAGAAAAAACATTTTCAAAAGCTAGGCAAAATCTTTGAAATGTATGTAGCAGATCTCAGTCCTCAGGCATGTATATATAGGGAGAGGTGTTCTCTCAAGTATCATGGTTGTCTTATTTACACTGCTGTAAGCCACTCCGAGTCCCCTCGGGGAGATAAGGTGGGGTATAAATAAAGTTGTTGATGTTGTTGTTATGTTACTGAAATAAAAACACAGTATGTCACAGCAAACGAGATCTATATGCTGGATTTTGTATCACAAAATCACAAGTCTAACACTTCCCAAGCGTTTAGGACTGTGTGATGTATTTTCAAATAATGTGCACATATCCAAGTCAGGTGGCCTTTTGCAGTTGACAGATCATGATTTTGCCGATGTTTATTGATTCCAAATGCCTGCTGAGATCTTTTGGCACGGCATTCAGTGCGCCAATGACCACTGGGACCACCTGGACTGGTTTATGCCAGAGCCTTTGCAGTTCAATTTTGAGCTCCTGATAAATGGCTGAGTTTTTTCCTGTTATTTTTCCTCACTGCAACAGTCACTTGCTATGGTGACATCAATAGTCCAAACTTTTTTCTTTGCCACAATTGTGATGTCTGGTGTATTGTGTTCCAAAATGTTGTCAGTCTGGATTAGAAAGTCCCACAGTATTTTTGCGTGTTCATTTTACACTTCCTTTACAGGTTTATGATCCCTTTACCAGGTCTTTACTACTGGCAGGTGGTCCTTGTGACATAAGTTCCAATGAATCATTTGGGCCACAGAGTTGTGCCTCTGTCTGTAGTCTGTCTGTGTGATTTTCTTGAGCAGCTGAGGAGATGGTCCATGGTTTCATCTGCTTCCTTGCACGGTCTGCATTTTGGGTCATCAGCTGATTTTTCAATCCTGGCCTTAATGGCATTGGTTCTGATGGCTTGCTCCTGGACTGCAAGAATCTGGCCTTCTGTCTCCTTCTTCAGGGTTCCATTCATGAGCCATCAACAGGTTTTCTCCTTATCAACTTTTCCTTCAATTTTGTCAAGGCTTTGTTGCAATGCTTTGTTGTGCTAGCTGTCAGTTCTGGTTTGTTGCGCAATTTTCTTGTACTAATTCCTTGTTATATTATGATTATGATTATTATTATTATTTACAGTATTTATATTCCACCTTCTCACTCCGAAGGGGACTCGGGGTGGATCACACTGTACATATACACGGCAAATATTCAATGTCGATTCTGACATTCAAGACATACAGAAGATAGAGGCCATTTAGCAGTTCTTCCACTTGGGATCCTCCTGGAGGTTGCTCAATTTGACCACTGGGGGAGCTGTCACTTCATCTATTATGATGTCAAGCCTTTTTGATAGTAGTATTTCTTCCTTGCTCTCCGGCATCTTTATGGTGTCATAAATTAGCCTCCCCACTTTGAGCAGTCCCTAATTTTTCTACTCACAGCTGTTTTCAAACTGCTTAGGTCAACAGTGAGCTGGGCATTTTTAACAGCTATTTTTTCAAACAGCTATTAACAGTTGGGCACTCAACCCCGACTCGGGCTTCGAACTTGCCAATTGTGCTACCAGCCCAGCCCTGGCGGCGGCTGCTGCTGCTGCTGCTGCTGTTGTTGTTGTTGTTGTTATTATTATTATTATTACCAAACTGTTTAGAGTTTTGAATGCCATCACCAGAACTTTGCATTTAGAGTAGAAGAAAACTGGCAACTTCTTTAAGACCTGCTGTAGCTTCTAAGTCATCTTCAAGGGCAGCCCCCTGTAGAGTGCATTATAGCAATCTAGTAGGGAAATGGCAAGTCTGTTCAAGAATGCTGTATAAGGGCAGTAGTTCTCAATCTGTGGGTCCCCAGGTATTTTGGCCTACAACTCCCAGAACCAGCTATCAGGATTTCTGCGAGTTGAAGGCTGAGACATCTGGGGACTCACAGGTTGAGAACCACTCGTGTAGGGTGTTGTGTGGGTTCCAGGCTGTATGGACATGTTCTAGCAGCATTTTCTCTTGATGTTTCACCTGCATCTCTGAAAATGCCAGCCACAGATGCAGGCAAAACATCTGGAGAAAATGCTGCTAGAACATAGCCATACAGGCTGGAAACCTCACAACACCTCAGTGATTCTGGCCGTGAAAGCCTTCGACAATACAATGTTATGTAGCTTATAGCATCTTGCACTCTAACTTGAAGGAATGAGTTTTAATTGAAATCCATATTGTATCGTCCTGACATTGAACACAAGAGAACAGCTCTGGGTGTACCAGGGAAGAGCAATAACCCAGGGAAGAACTACCAAGCAATCTGAGAAGTTAAAACCTGAAAAACGGATGATTATCTTCCTATGTCATTCTGAAAGAACGCAATTACATGGTCATTCATGCAATGGTTGTCCTCCATGAAAGCTCAAAACATTTAATCCAGGTCAGAGCAACACAAAGATTTATGAGGAAGTTTAGAGTAGTTTCATTTTTAAGATGGGAACAAATTCTCTACTGGTTTGCATCTTGGGGAAGGGAATGATGGCGAGGACATGAGTCTTTTGGAGGATCAATTCCAGTGGGAGAAGAATTGTGGAAGTCATGTTCAGAAGGGACTCCCACTGCCAAGGAATGAGGAGTGGCATCTTCTGGGTTATTTAGGCAGTGAACCCATTCTAGGTTTTAGTCTTAACATTAAAGGGGGCAATGCAAGGTGTTAAACCTGTTTGGGTATTAAGATTCAGCACCATGGAGAATTCAATTGAACTTTGAGCAAACAATCCTATCTAGAGAATGGGTTCCAGCACCTTGAGTAGTTCCACTGAACATTAAAGAAACAATCCTAGCTGGAGAATAGGATTCAGCACCATGGACAACACCATTAAACGCTAAGGAAATTATTCCATCTTGAGAACAGGATTCAGCACCTTAGACAGCTCCGTTGTACTTTGAGGGAATTATCTTATCTGGAGAAGAGGATTCAGCACCTTAGACAGCTCCATTGAACTTTGAAGGAACAATCCTATTTAGAGAATAGGATTCAGAACCATGGATAGTTCAATTGAACTTGAAAGGAACTATCCTATTTGGAGAACAAGATTCAGCACTTTGGTCAGCTCTGTCAAACTTTATAGGAACTGGGTTGTTGTAGGTTTTTTCGGGCTATATGGCCATGTTCTATATGGCATTTTTTCCTGATGTTTCGCCTGCATCTATGGCAAGCATCCTCAGAGGTAGTGAGGTCTGTTGGAACTAGGAAAAAGGGTTTATATATCTGTGGAAAGACCAGGGTGGGACAAAGAACTCTTGTCTGCTGGAGCTAGGTGTGAATGTTTCAACTGACCACCTTGATTAGCATTTGATGGCTTGGCAGTGCCTGGGGCAATCTTTTGTTGGGAGGTGATTAGATGTCCCTGATTGTTTACCCTCTGTTGTTTTGCTGTTGTAATTTTAGATTTTTTTAATACTGGTAGCCAGATTTTGTAATACAGTATTTTTAATTTTTTTTAATACAGTAGCCAGAATATTGGTAGCTACCAGTATTTAAAAAAAGCCTTCGACAATACATTTATAGGAACTACTGTCCTATCTGGAGAATAGGATTCAGAACCTTGGATAGTTCTATCAAACTTCAAGGAAACTATCCCAACTGAAGAATAGAATCCAGCACTTGGTTAGCTCTATCAAACTTCAAGGAAACTATGCTATCTATAGCAGGAGTCCTTAAACTAAGGTCCAGATACGGCCCTCCAAGGTCATTATCCGGCCCTGGGTTGGAAACTGTGGTGCTCAACGTTTAAATGCTTCAGTACCTTAAATGATTATTTTGAGGTTGAGACTAAAACCCAGAATTGACACACTGTCCCATTCACAGTAGATGCCAAGGATTAGATATTTGCTTTTCATTCTTTAAGAAAGGCAATGAAATGACATTCTTAGGAACCAAATTTATGAGGCATTTTTCTGAGGGATGGAAATTGCCCAAAGCAAATAGCTTTGATTATAGAACGACTCTCATCATTCATTTATGGAATGCATAGCCCTCTTAAACAGTCCCTGATGAAACTTCAAGGCACCTCCTGAAACAGCACTAAAAGGATGACATTATATG